CAGGTAAACAAATGCCGTATAGGTTTTGTCCCCTACCTGACTGACACTTAGATGAAGTTGAGAGATTGCCTTAAACATGAGATTATTACTAGAAAACATCTTGATCGGGTGATCGTTGTCTTGTGTCTAAGGCTACCTTAAGCCCTCGTTCACACCTGAACGTTTTGTAGCCCGTTCTACGCTCGACGAACGCTCTACAAAACGCTCAAAAATATAAATCCCATTGTATTCAATGGTCTCGTTCCCACCTTGGCGTATTTCCGCCCGTCCCTAACGAGCTACAAAACGGCCCACGCCTGAAAAGGTACAGGTACTACTTTGGGGCGTTTTGTTGCGCGTTTCCATTGGGCTACAGCCAAGTAGCCTTCGGAAACGCGCAACTTTTTTACCGCGAATCGCGGTAAAAAAAGCACGCGACAGACGCGCATATGCAATACGCCTAGGTGTGAACGAGACCTAAGCGGTAAATATACTTTCCAACAAAGTACACTCGCCCTGGCCCTCCTCCTTTCCAACAGCTAAACCGATCCACCCACCCCATTTGCACACTTACCAAATTCCTGCAGCAATGGTTGACCACAATGTTCAGCTCCTAGCATTCAAGGTTTCCATCTTGGTGTCCACATGTGCACAGTAGAGCCCTATAGACTTCTTTAGGACCACCTCTTGTGCATCTCCTGCATTCAAAGAAAGCTCCATTGAAGGTGGCACAGTGGGAAGAAGACCCAAGCAGGTAGGAGAACAACTTGTAATATTTCTTAGCTATGTGAAAATTGAAATAATTTCATCAATGTATGATTATGGGGCTAATTTAGGAAAACTGAAAAAAACAAAGTAAGGTTGCAACAGGATTTGTTGCTCATAGTGACTAATCTCCCCATTCTTTTTATGAATCAACCCCCCTCAATGTGCATTATCTGTGTACATGGGGACAGGCATTTCATTTGACTTTATCATTTTTTTCATTATGTTTGCTTCCTTCATTCTCTTCTGATATTCTTATCTATCTGTAAGGTTAACAGACAGGGTCCATTTGATTAACAATAATCTGCATTCTGTAATGATTGGTAGCCAGGAAACATGGAAGATCAGCAGCTTTATCACAGCAATTGCAGAAAATCAAATAGCTATAGCAATGAAATGTAACAATAAAAAAGATACACACAACAAAAACAAAGACCCAGTTTCACCGTGCGCCATCTGGTGGCCAAACTGATAAATTACAAACTGGTGCAATATTTATTATTAGACAGAACATTTCTTTATAAGTGCTCTTCAATTATCTAAACACAGGGCCGGATTAAGAGCATCACGGGCCTGGTGCTGAGAATTTTGGTGGGCCTTTTTTTTTTTTTTTTTATAGATATGGCGATGGTCACCGGGGCCCTCTTCCTCCTGTCCGAGTGGTGGTGGAGCACAAGGGCCTGGTTGCAGCTGTGACTCTGGTAGATCTGCCACTGACTCTAAGCTGCAGAGGGACTACAGATCTTATACAGCAATGCAGAATACCGCCAGCTATAGAGGACTACAAATGCCAGCAATAAATTATACAGCAATGCAGAATAATATAAGGCTACATACTCTGTGTTGCTCCAGGTTCGTGGCCTGATGTCTCCGGGGTCTCAGGAGAACTGTGCGGGGTTTAGGGGGGCTGTGCAGGCTCTCAGGTGGTCAGTGCAGGCCCCAGGCGGTCAGTGAGACTGGCGGCCATAGCAGATGCGGCTCTTTGCTCAGGCATATCGGAGGGCCCTTTGATATGCCTGAATAGAGGGCCGCGGCTGCCTTGTCACGGCCGGTCCGATGGCAATTCGGACCAGGTCGGGTCGACCTGGCCGCGATTTGGGTTGGGTCGGCCTTGCCTATTTGCACAGGCGGGCCTGGAGCGGGAGATGCACTAGTCCCTGTGTTAATCGGGTCCTGTCTAAACAGGGCCTAAAAACAGAGTCAACTCTAGAGGTTAATATACCATTCAAAATTCATACCAGCTGGAATCCTGCTGTTTAAAGTGACAATAAAAAAAAATGTCCCTCCTGCACAGCTTAGAGAATTTATCTCCACCTTTTTCTGCCCTATGTTTAAGGAGGTTACATTTGAATTGTGTTTATGGATAAAATGTCTAGACACATGAGTTCTTTTATAGACTAGTTCAGTGGTGGCGAACCTATGGCACGCGTGCCGGAGAGGGCACGCGGGGCCTTTTCAGCTGGCAAACGAGCCCAGGTTCGGGCCACCTCTAAGAAAAAGTCAGACCGCCCCGGATCGCCGCCTGGGTACGCGATCCAGGACGGTCACGATCAGGCAGCAGGAGCCTGCTAACAGGCATATTAAACAGCCACTTCCTCCTTGCTAGGACCCAGTGAGGCCCCAGCGATATTCTGCATTTCTGTATAATGTATTGCTAAGTTTAGTTCCTTTACAGGTTGAAGTCAGTAGCAGAACTAACAGGGTCACAACGGTCACAGTTGTACTGGGCCCTGCTGCTCCACCAATGACTCCAAGCTGTAGAGAGACTGTTGCCTTGCAGTGTGCTGCGTGACATGTACCTTAGTAGCACACTGCAATGGAACATTTCACTCTTTAGCACAGTACAAAGGTGCATGTCACTGTAGTGTAGTTAAAACCTTTTGTATTGTATTTTTCTTCTAAGATTTAAGCACATAATTAGGTCAGACGGTCGTATGAAGTGTTTTTCTAAAAGAAATCATCAGTATTCGGGTCTAAGTGCGGGGTTGGCACTTTGAGACACACACGTTGGTTTAGTGATCCAGTTTGGGCACTCGGGCTCAAAAAGGTTTGCCACCGTTGGACTAGTAGGTTGGAGATTTTAAAGACAGAAAGGGGTGGAGATACATTTTCTAAGCTGTGCTGGAGAGAGTTTTTTTACATTATTACTTTAAACATCAGGAATTCTGAATGGGATGCTTCCAACTATTATGGATGAGGTGACTACCTCCAGGACAGCTAGGATGTGAGAGTGTGCATTGGAAATATATTTCTCATCCTATTTAAATGGTGTTTTTTCATGTTCTATTTAGATTGAGTTTTTTAGACCCTTTTTTAGTCTATGAAGAGTGTTATGGAAATTCACTTGGTTCAACGCACAAATCCATGTCACATTAAGCTGCGCCAAACGCAAAGAATTTCCCCCGTTGTACTACGCTCTTTTATGCAAGGACTGAAAGTATCTCCCTCTATAGAGTCATGTAGAGTCAGGAGACAGATGTTGCTTGTTCGTTAATCCCATGCTAAGAGACCTGAGCGCAGGTGTGTTTATTGTTTATACCTGCCCAACAGGAAGTGATGTCAGACAGGAAGGGGTGTCTCAAACAGCGAGACAGGAAGTGAACAGGGGCCAGCTAACAAATCACATGTAGTAACAATCTATGACCACCGGAGTGACTTTATCCAGCGTTGCTCAGTGAGCAATGCCACAAAACGTTACTAGGATTCTCATGCGCGCTCATTCACAGGGACAACATTATATCATCTCAAGCGTGTTGATCAGGCACACCAGAGAGAACAAACGCACGTTCCTTTCATATACTGCGTTCAAGACAAATGTATCCACGCAAGCCAATAAATCCATGCATTGCACGGGGGGCCCCAGCCGGCGTCCATACATTCGCCAAGAAGACACTGCTCCGCTGCACATAAGAAATCTCCTCCAATGGATTAATCCCCCAGTGTCTATTTACCTGACACTGAGAGACTAATGACAAAACATTACAATACACTAAAAACACATCCTAGTAAAATTTCCACAACAAGAGTAAATCTGTATGGTCCTTATTTGCATTCAACAGTAATTTTGCATAGATTTATAGTATTTCTTAAGAAGCGGTCTTTTTAATCGATATTGCAATGGGTTGTAATTTATCAGTTTTGCCACCAGATGGCATATTATGAAAATAAGTCATTGCATTTGTTGAGTGTTTTTGTAAAACCAGAACTTGCTTTATCTGTTTAATTCTTTATTACTATGTAGCATGATATATATTCTAATGCAAATGCTGTGATTATATGATTATAATTTGTGCAATGTAAATTGTATGTTTATATTTATAGATAGGGTAGATAGATAGATAGATAGATAGATAGATAGATAGATAGATAGATAGATAGATAGATAGAATATATATATATATATATGTATATATATAT